CTCTGTACAAATGTAGCAACTGCAGTTCCTGGAATTACTGGTTTGAAGAAGGAGGATTCACATGAGGTTAATGGGTTGCTTCAACAGTTGCATCCCTGCCTCCCATCCTTGATACGTCATGCAGTAGAAAAGCAGTCCATGTTTGCTTTTGAACAGAATGTGAATGCTATGGCGAATCCAATATGTGGATCTTTGCAGAAAGGATTCATAATTTTTGATCGGTCAGGGAATGAGACACACCTGGTTTATAGCTCTGTCCTGCCACCCGCCCATTATGCAACTACCACTATTACAAAACTAGCTGCTCATAACAATTTGCACGAAGGTCAAGCAGTTAAAAAGGATCCTTCACTGCAGGCTTTTTTACTGGAAAAATCTGGTAAGAACTATTGTAGTGCTAACCAGAGTGAGATGCATGAAGACACTGAAGAAATTAATGCATTACTTTACTCAGATGAAGAGGATGATTATGATGATGAAGTAATTAGCACTAATCACTCTCCAGTGGCAACCAAAAGAAAGTGTCAGATGCCAGACCAAATTGAGAATGTGATTGAAGAGGTTGCTAGCTCTGATGGTCTATACAAAAGGCAGAGATTGCTGAGTGCTGGATACAAGATATCTTCATCTATGGATATAGCATGTTCAGTTAAATTAGATGCCTCCAGTGAATATGACAGTGATGCAGAATCAAGCTATGCCATAGGACAGAATCAAACAGAGGATACAGCTTCAATTTTGGGTGGCAAGCTGTCAAGGAAGGAAAAGATTCGCTTGGCAATGAAAATTCTGGGGAGCATAATACCTGGTGCTAAAGGGAAGGACCCATTGTTATTCCTTGATGAGGCTATGGACTACTTGAAGTACTTGAGGCTTGGCACCATGGCTTTAGGAGTGAATCACTGTTAATTCACCCTCCCTCTTTGTGGCGGTAACTTTTTCAAAAAGAAGGGATGGAAACAGTATTAGCCCAAGAATTCATATCTTCAATGATTGATGAATTTGAAATCACCACACTACATTGCTTTTGCTGGGTGGATTCCTCCTTTTTGCATCTTTTATCTCAAGCACTGTTCTCACCATATATAATGGACAAATAAAGAAAAGCTGGGTGAATGAAGATGGGAGAGAGGATGCCATGCCAGAGATGTTTATTGACTGGAAATGATTATCTTTTAGCTTTTTGGTGTGGTTTATTACGAAAAGGTCACAGATTTTGAACGCATGGGGAAGAAAGGATGCAATGTTAGTGGGGGTCTGTGTTGTAAAATGGAATGAAGTTCCCTCTTTTCCTCAACTACTTTGAAGTTCCCATGGATTTAGTGCATGCGCGTTAGGTAACTCGGGTCCCACTTCCCACCCTCCTTTAAGCTTTTGATTTCATGCTTTTGTCCTCTCTCTTTTACCTTCAATGCACATTATGTTTTGGAGAAATCTCCATAAAGCTTGAAGAAAAATTTCCAGAGTGGGATTGTGCATATGTTGTAAAAGCTGGTTTGTTTTTGCAAG